CACTCACTGTCAGCTGTATGCAGCCTATAGCGAAGAGTGCTTGGGGACACAAGGATGTCCCCAAGAGCACCAGCCCAGGCAAAGCAGCCTGCAGGGATAAGGATGCATGGACCTGGAACAGGGAGTGTGTCTTGCCTGAGCAGGACTGCAGGTGGGAGTGGGACATCCGAGAGGACAGGGAAAGGTGTTGGAAGACACTTGCCTGAGCCACCTCAACTTCTCCCGTGGGAAGGGTGCTCAACCTTCAGGAGCCAAAAATACAGGGACCATCTGCACTGTGCACAGCTGGCCCTGGCTGGCATCCAATGTCTCTTATGCAGAACCTTCTCCTCCAAGAAGCTGGTCCCTAGACTTACATGGAAAGAGACATCCACCATGTGTGCAAGCATCTTGCTAAAAGAAGTGGTTTTGTGGCGCTGCAATGAATCCCCTCCATCAGTAGGATAATGCCCCTGCATGCAATTTCCCTGCATTTTCCCAGCCATCCATGCTTGAAGCAGCATGAAATCAGTGCAGCCCCGTTGGGAGGCAGGACTGGGGACTCTGATGAGACTAGGACATCCAGGTGTCCTCTCCTTACAGGTGAAGTTGAGGGAAGGATGCTCCATCCATTCCCAGGGAAGACAGTGGTGCTGGAGAAGGAGAGCACAAGGAGGGGCTGCCTCTGCCACCAGGTGCTCAGTGTTTTTGAACCACCTGGGCCCTGCGGTGAGGCCAGGTGGGAATCCAAGGAGAGCCAAGAACAGCAGCAGGTGGATTTTGTGGCATGTTTTGAAAAGTAAAACCTCCTGCTGTGGATAGGGCAACTGCTAAGGAGTGCTTATCCACCAAACCACCTGGTCCCATGGTACGCACGGTTCACATGGCACAGTGGTCCTTCCCACGGGCTAGCACTTCTCAGCCAGGTCCCTCCTGGCAAAGGTACCCCTGAGGGGTTTTAGGAGTGACTGAATGCCAATGGGAAAGATGTGAGTATCTCCAGGGTGTATATATATATATGCATAGGTACTGCTTTTTAAAGAAGGTGTCACCAACAGCAGAGGAAGAACCGGACAAAACCAGAGTTGCTTTCACAAAACCCATCTCCTCATACAGCTCAGCTGTCAGAGAAACCCGTCCCGCTGAGACACCAACAAGGAGCCCCTATCCCCTGGCCCAAACAGCTTTTCCTCTTCTAAAGAGAAATCCCAGGCATGATACAAAGATTTCAAGTGATACCAAGTCAGCCATGCCACCAGCTAAATCACCCTTTGGTTAATGCCACTGCTTCAACTTTACGGCATGTTTCTAAACTGAATTTCTCTCTCATTATGTCTTTGCCCGCTACAGTAAAGAGCCATGAGCTACTGGAAATCATCTCTTCATTTATCTGCTTGTGAATATTAGTTTAACTTTGGCTCCTGTGATACCTGGAGCTACAAGAAAGCCTTGTTGAGTGCATCCGAAGAGAGGCACTGTCCCAAGCCCCACTGTTGAACTGGGGTATACTTTCACTCACTGGCAATACAAAATGAAGATCAATTAATTAATGCATCACCAAGATGTGAATTTGACTCACCAGTGCAGAGAAGTTAGGGCAAAGCTCATATCTATTTTGGGCTGTTTATCAACTGCTTCCTAGTTACCCAAGTTTGCCCTTTTCATCGCTAAGAAGACATGTTATTACGTAGTTACAATATTTCTAAATATACTCCCTCCTCCCAATATTTAGAAGGGAATGGGGGTGCCTGGAGCCAGTCCAAGAACAGAGCAATGACTGCAAGAACTGTGAGATGGGCAGAGCTGAACCTTTCCCTTTAGAATACCTTATTTTGCACTTTGGAGAAATTCCTGCACAACCCAGCTAACAGACAACATCCCAGCAGCTACTGCACAAAGAGGGGGCAAAGGAGGTAGGGAAGAACAGGATGGAGGAGGAAAAATAGGTGGGGAGACAGAAGTGCAGCAGCTTGGGTCAGCATGCTGCCGGCCCTGTGCAGATGCTGCCCCGGTCCTGGTCCTGGCAGGCTGCGGGGAGCTGGAGCAGCCATTGCACCGTAGGGGCTGCGACCCAGTCACCTCCCAGCTTTACGTAATGAGTTTTAGGAATAACGATACAGCCCGAGGTGCCACTGCAGAACTGGACTAGGAACTCCTTAATATCTTCTACCCTCAGTGCCTTTGTGCAAGGCAGCTACAGACCTATAACCTCTCTGTGGTTCAAGGACAAGAATCTAACCTCCTGTCCCGCCCTACTGAAGAGACATCACAGTCACAGGATAACATCTTCCAGATGTTCAGAGGGCCAGTCCCACTGGAAGGACCTCCCATTCCTTCCCTGCCCTCGTGCCCGCGCTTCCCTCCCGTGCTCACATCTCTGCTTCTTGCTTGCAAAGGTTTTGCTCGACGCATTTATTCAGGGCTGCCAGGCACTGCGTGGTTTTGTGATGCACAATGCTGGGAGCCATCAAGGGAGAGGGGCAGGGATGGACATCGAAGGGGTGATGCCTGCACTTGGCTGGGGGAATGCCATCTCCCATGGGTGTGCAGCCACAACGCTTATGTTGGTGGGCACAAATGCTTTGCTGCCTGCTGCAATGTGAAATCCACGGATATGAGAGAGGGATTTGCCATCAGAGGCCTCAGTGCTCTGAGCAGCCAGGTGAAAGCTCGGGAGCCACCTGGGATGCTCTGGATGGCTCCGTGTTCTCACTCCATCCTGCAGCAAAACACTGCCCTGCAGTTTCCTCGGACGGAGGGAACCATTGGCTTCCTGGGCTGGTTGCTGCGATTGCTTCTGTGGTCCGATGATCCCATCCCATCCCATCCCATCCCATCCCATCGCCCCATGGTGGAGCAAAGGCCCTGCTCCACCACCATCATGGGCTGACATGCTAGCGCTCCGAGCTGGCATTTTCTAGGTGCTAATCCCAGGTCCTAACAATGCCAAGGAGGAAGGGGTGGAGGATATTTTTTTCTTGGCCTCCAGGGATTGAAATAGAAGAAGAAAGTCAGTTCTGCCATATCCAGTTACTGCAATGCAGTCTAACTGGGCCAGTTTCACTGACAAATTTGACCGGCAGCCAACTTGCTTTGTCTTCCACGGCCCGAAGCTACTGAAGTTCAAAGGAGAGCACAAGGACCGCTTTTCTCAGGACCTCAGTTACTGCCCTCCCCACCAGCCAGAGCTTTACACCCTCTCTTGGGGCACCTCTCCTCCCCGTGCCATACCTTCCACCATCCCAAGTCCTCTCGCACAGCACACAGACACACACACACTCAGGCGCCTTCCAAATAACATAGTGTTTAAACAGACAATTTCCCAGCTCTCTTTTTCAAAAAAAATACAAATTTCCTCCCTTCCTCCTGATTGTGAACACTTGCCTATCCAATTCCCAGTCCACTCTTCTTCCCACGGTTAAAAACAAAATAGCATCACTAGTGATGCCAAACACACGAGTCCCCCCCCACCTGAAAAAGCAGCTTTTTCAGTGTCAGTTCTCAGCACTGGCTGCAAGCTGGGATCACCTGCAAACCAGTGCAAACCCCTGCAGCATCACTGGGATAACTGGTCCTGCATAACAGCATTTGCTTTTCCAGGCAGGTTTGTCCTGCAGCACCTGCAGTTCCCCACCATGGGGAAATTTTCCACCAGCCCACCGGTGGGAAAATAAACCTAGCACTCTCATAGCGAGGGGCACGGCACTTTCTGTCCCCTAGCCCACGCCAAACACCACATATAGACAGTGAAGACTGCAAGTGCCTTGTCCTCAAAGCCAGAGGAAAGCTCTCAGGCGACAGGCTTGAGGGGAATAATTTAACCCCTTGTTCATATCTCCAAAATAAACCTTTGTTTATTTCTCCCTTAGATGCAATTTTCATTTTTCTCACTGTTTTGTCCCAGGACCCTCCTATAATAAACTCCATAAACATCCAGAAAGAGCTATTTCCAAGTGCTCATGGGCTAGTTAGAGCTCAATTACTCAGCTGGAAGATCCAGGGTACTGCTGGGTGACCTGGAATAGATAAGGAATCAGAGCCAGAGCACTCTGTTAAGAGGGGTATCCACATAAGCCCCTGCTCTGCTTACGCTGCTCATATTCCTCAGCCCTATCCCATCACAGCAGATGCGAATCCAGCCTGGGACATGAAATCTGCCCGTGACCACACAGATAAATAGCTGAAGAGTCTCCTTCTTTCACTTTCTGGCTCAGCTTGCTGTAAAAAACTAGGGAAACCAAATGCTTCCCAGCCTCCCACGCACGAAGCACATACCGAATATTCTTAGTGCAGAGGTTAGTAAATGTTACAGAGAAGTGGGATTGGCTCCCACTACGGCAAGGCACAAAAAGAGGAGAAGGACTGGCATGAAGCTTTCTAGCTCAAACCAAGCTATTAAAGGATTTGCCAGGTGCAGTGAAAGAGATAAATGTACCCAAATCAAAATAAAAGAATGAATTTTAACTGAACAATAAACACAAACCAAATTGCTTGGGGCAAAATCTGCTTCTTGAGGTGATTTCCACAAAGCAGCAAACTTTTTCTATTCCACAAGAACCAGAGACTGTTTAAGCTTTTGCACAAGAAGAACTGAAAGGACCAAGAGTCTGGAGATCTCCAAAGGAAAAAAACAGAGGAAAAAGAAACGCAGGCCACAGGATCGCTGTCACTGCACTGGTCCCTCCAGCCCCCTTCGGGGAGTACCGTCTCTGCTCCCAGCCCTGCCAAAGGATGTTAGAGCAGAGGCAGAGAGAAAATCCCTGGCACCAGCACAGGTTTTGGCTTTGCGAGTAACACCGGGATTTCATGAAATACCTTGTTCCCTCCCAGAGTGCCCGTACCAGCTCCCTGCCTTGCTCCTCTGGTCTCTACATGACAGCTATTCCTCCTTAGCAAGCACAGCACGCCTTTCTCAGGGTTCATGTTTTCCATCTTGTCCCCTGAAACAGCCCAGCAGAGTTCACAGGTATGCCCCTGCATTTCTCACAGAAACAGCTCAAGCGTGGGGAGATGTGACTTACGTCTATCGAGTGTTCCCTCTGAATAAGTTTCCTGGTCTCCTTTTCGCAGTGATTGAGCATTGTGTCGCAGTTTTGCGGGCCAGATGGGGAATTTTCTGTTTGGTTTTTCTGGCCTAGCTCCAGAGGGATGCTTCCATCTGGATCCACCACATCCAGCTCCTTTTCCAGCTCTTCCATCTCCTCCGGAGACAGAGTAGACAACAAACTGTCAATATCTGGATCTTCACTAACTTGTCGCCGATATTTGGCCACTTTGGACATCTTGGCTCGCTGGCGAGACACGGTTGCGGTTGTGTGTGGTACCCAAGGAAAGAGAAAAAAAAAAGAAGCCGAAGCTCCAACACTGCTTCCCCCAGTGGCAGCAGGTGCTGAAGTGTTAAATCTCAGCAGCTCTCAATCGCTGCAGCCTGGGATATAGTAGTTATAAAGAGGGGACACCCCTCGGTCCAAGAGTTGGCCAATAACAGGATCCAACCGCGATTCGGGTGCTGGGAAGCCAATGGAGCCCAGTGGGAGGCGGGGAATGGTGCTATCAGAGGAGCCTGAAACCCGAGGACATTCCAGGGAACCATGCAGAGCTGCATGACCAAATTTAGTCCGGAGCATTTAGCCTTTTAAAGGCAATGGGCCAACCTAGTGAGAAAACATGCAAAAATGCACAAGCTGGCAGGCTGGGGATCTGGGGGGTGGGGGAGGCAGATCCCTAGCATGTGCCCATCAGTGCCGGAGGGCTAATAAAGAGGTCCGCGTGGCTCTGATGTGGGGTGTCTCCTCCGTTACAGGAGGGGAGAGTTTCTGCTGTGACAGTGACAGCTCTTGTCTGAAATCGGCAATAAAGCACCCACCCCGGAGAAAGTTTTCATATTTATACCACTGCTCTCCAGGATCTGTGCAGTTAGCCAAAGCACACAGCCCTTTGGGAAAGAGGTGGTGGGTGGTTATGTTGCTGGTGCAGGCTGGTTTCTTTACGAAGGATGTGCAAAGTCCAGCGCCTTTGAAGCGGGGAGGAAGCAGGCAGCAAGTGCCAGCCCAGCCCGGCGCCTGCTCCTCACTCTGCAAAGTCTGACCCCAGCCCTGTCCCTGGGTTGGTTTATCAGAGCTTCTGCTGATTCCCTGTCCTCTGCAGGGGTGTTTCTGCAGCTGCTCTTCATCACAACACTCCCATTTCCCCTCGCCAAGCCCCAGAGACATCCCTCCTTCTGCACAAACTAAATTCCTGAGTCTCTCCTGCTTCTGGTTCAGGCAGTGCCCTAAGCCTGGGCTTTGGTTGGAGGCACCTACTTTCCATCAACCTAATCTATAAAGAAGCTTACTGGCACCTGCAAATTCTCCCAGCGGGACAAAGGCAGATAGGCTCTTCTCTCCAAGTTTCAAGGCAGCTTCACCCCATGTATAGCATTTTGTACCCATTTATTATGCTGCCAACTTCATCCTTTTTTCTTCATCCTTTATCATCCTCCTCGTATTTACTGCCTGCTCTCAGGCCTCTCTCTTTGCTACTCCAAACAAGCAGCCTTTTGATCTTCTTCAGTAAAATAAGCTCTCATAAGATTTTCCTCGTCAGCCTAATCACTTTCTCTGGCCATGTCACTGGCTCAGATCCCATCCAGAACACAGGCACAGGGTGCTCCAGGTGAGTGTCCGAATGTCTGTGTTACAAAATAGACATTCCTCATCTTGACGGGAAATGCACATTCTTGCTGCATTCTAGGATTTCATTTATCTCCAGCATCACAGCATCCAGCTCCTGCTCATAGCCTTCCTATGATTCACCAGCAGGATTGAGACTTTTTCCAGACTGTGGAAGAAACTGTTGGTTTTAGTTTCCAAGTGCATAACCTTAAACATTGCTGTGCTGAATTTCATCCCACTTCACCCCATCACTTCTATCTCCCTGACATCATGACCCTCATCTTGGTGCTCACTTCCATCAAGGCCTAGGAGGGACATGGCCATCTGCCTTCACCTTCTTCTCCTTCCCTCACCCCAAAACCGACATGGCTGCAGCAACACCGAAGGCAGCGGGAACCAGGGTGAATTTAGTGTATTGGTGTCCATTTGGTGCCCTCTTCACCTGCAGAAGCCAAATGAGTGCCTTGCTTGTCCCACTTTATTACAGTCCTGGACCTCTCTAATGTGCTCTCTTGTTGATTTTCATAATACACAGTTCAAAATGTTTTAACACTGTGTCTTCTGGAAGAGAAATTTGAATTAACAGAGTCTGGAGATGGAAGGCATTACCAAATGCCTGGTATTTCTATGTGGTGTTGCTGTGCTCAGTCACCGGGAGCAAATGGTAAGTGCTTGTAAGAGGTCAGTAACAAACTGGAAGCTCAGTTCCCAACTGGAGAGGGCATGAAAGTAAGGTAGTGAGGAATCATAGCTACATGTCTCCCTCTTCCAGAAAAGATCCAAGCTTTCTCAGGTGTGCCACCCCCGGCTCCAGGGGCAGGGTATGTGGACAGCCCCAGGGACAATCTGCAATGCTAAAACAGAGAAAGAACCTTTCTAGTGGTGAGTAAAACCTAGAATTGTCTTTCTGTCTGCCTGCCTCTCCTTCATGACTCTTTCCTGTGTTGTAAAACAGTTTTCAACAGAATAAAATCACTATCAACACCTTGATAAGGTCTCTATTTTGTTGTTCCTGAATCTTGCTTCCTGTGAGGAGAAGCACCAGACACCGAGCTCCCTAAGAAGCTGTAAACGTGACCTGGGAGGCTCTGAGTTTCTCCTAAAGTATCACACATCCTTCCCTGATTTGGGAGTCCACGTCTGCCAGGCTCTCCTCCACTGAGCTACAGAGCTGGCTATGCAGAGGTAACACAGAGTCAGAGTTTTGCAGAGAAATATTCCTTCATTAGTAGAAAAGTTGGAAGAGAAGCAGGGGTCACCCAAAACTTGTCGTGGTTTGTAGTGGATGGTCTTACTGCAATTTATCTTGGCTGTCACATGTCTCTTTTTAAACAGGGATATTAGCATAGCTCTGACTGCACAATATTCCACAGTGCTCTCAATGGTGTAAGAAAGAAAACACCAAAAGAAAATCTAGTGTTTTCATCCCAGAATAAGAGGAGCTCTGGATATGTCTGCGCCGGCTGCTCCTTCACAGGCCACCAGCAACTGGGACTGGGGACTTGTGCAGGGACCCTTGGGCATTGCTCTGTGGCCGGCTCCAGCCACCACAGGCTTGTCGCTGGCCCTCTGAAGCTGTGCCAGTCAGGAGATCGCGGTGCGGTATGGTGCGGTTTGGTGCAGAGGAGCTCCCAGCAGCTCTGAATCTCCACCAAGGCTCCGTCAGTCTCTGCATTTATCAGGATCCCCATCTCCATAGCAACTGAGCACCTCGGGGGCACTAATGAGTATTTCTGCACAACATGCCTTTGAAATGCAGCAACATGATTAGCCACGTCTTAGAGATGAGGCACTGAGACGGTCAGATTAAGTACCTTTTCCAGGCACATGCACAGGGTCTCTGGCAGAGCTGGGAAAGCCTTCTATGCGCCCACCTCTTGTGCCACCACCTAGGACCGTCTGTCTTCCTTTATTTTTTCCTGTTAGCTGATAAAGGACAACTGAAAATTGGATGGATTCCTCTAATCTGTTTTATTTCCCTTTCCTTTAGAGCCTGCAGGAGGAAAGGTTAAACACACTGATCTTTTTTTCATTTTATAAGATGTTCCTTGAGAAAGCAAGTGACATCTCCCAGCCCGGCTGTGACAGGCGGCTGCTCTGGAACACATTGGTCCCCTGGCCAGCGAGAGAAACCTCTCCCAAACCCAACTGCAACTTCACCCACAACCTCCCTCTGCAAAACACCTGCTCATGTGAGACCAAGGGAAGACATTATATATTGGGAAAGGAGCCAGCTCCTGGCTGCAGAGAAATTCAGAAAAACCCAGAAAGCCCTTGAGCCCCTTCCAGCAGCCTGCCGGGGGGTGCCACCAGTGCCCCCGGCTGATCTACTGGAGGTCCCTTTGGTGACTCTGGTCACTGCAGCTCAAGCACCATATGGGCTCAGCAGGGAGTTTCCCAAGCCTTCCCGTAGCTTGTGAAAGGGATGACCAGAATGATCATTCAGCCTGATATAATTAACCTGCCACTGATTAGGAGAAAGGACAAGGGCTACTGCAAGAAATTGCCACCCTAAGAAGGGTCAGACCAGTGCGGGACCAGTCACAGTAGTAACAGAGGACACGAGAGCAGAGAGGTCTGCTCCCAGGCTCAACCAGGCTACAGCAGCCGGGGATGAGGCTTTCTGGGATGAGATTTTCTGCTCTTCCCATCTCCATTCCTTGACCAAAGCAGAAGCCACAATACCACCTTCTGGTAATTTCCTTTACTGCATCACCCCCTGCTCCCATCCTGCCTTAAATAAGGACAAACATGCCATCACCACACTCAGACCATGAAGGCTTACATTTACAAGGAGTCTTTTAACACCTTCAAAACCAGCAAATTATAGCAGGGGGAGCATTTCAGCTCCTTTCCATTGCTTCAGCCCATGATTTATTAGAGCAATTAAGTGCCTTGGCCCACAATCTGCATCGTCTATTGCAACTGAATGATTTACTGCCCTTACAAGGGAGTGCAGTGTGTAATGTTAAATCAGGAGCGTGAAAAGAATAAGCAATTTACAACTTAGAGCACTTGCAAACATGTGGGGAAAGGCTACAGGGGCTTTGCAGGCTGCTGTGGCATTTGCTGCCAGCACAGAGACTAATTCTCTGTTTTTCAGCTCTGCCTTCCCAGCCTCCCTAAAGAACTCCCCTCTCGCAGGCACTGTCTCTTGAGGGAGACCTGAAAGCCCAGCTTTTGTCCACGCCACCCGGCCCACAGGAGCGTCCCCAGGAACACCTCAAGGTCAGCCCAGCTGACTCAGCAGCATCAGGAGCGAGGTGGGCCCTGCTCCCGTGCCTCAGCAGCTCTGGTGGGATGGATGCCCTCAGCATGGGCACGTTGCCCAGCACGGACCCCTCCGTCACTGGGCAGGCATCCTCCTCCGGTTCAGCTGGGTTCTCCTCCGCTTCCACGGCCAGGGTGCTCACAGCATTTTCTGTCGGGATGCATTTACAGACAGATCAGTTGCCTTAAGTCTCAAGGATGGGCAGAGCCGACCCCTGCCTGCCCCTCAGATTTGTTCACGTTTTTACCACAGGCGCTACTTATCCGAGGGCTAAACAAAAGCCGCTTTTTCTTTCAGGCCTTTGTCAGAGTGCCGTGACGTGGGCCTAGCCCTAACAGAGGCGTTATGTGCTTTTTTT